GATTGAGGAGGTTGTATAAATCATTGAAGTTCAAACATGGGCGTGGTAAATACACTCGAAGAGCAATAACTGAATCCACTGTCACTGAAGTGAGGTTTGTGTCTTGAACTCTGCACTTGACTAGGATGCTTCAGAAAAATGGAAAGAAAATGGCTTTGAAGGAAATGAATTAATGGTTAATGTATGCCCATTTTTCTTGGATTACAAGTAGATTTCTTCATGTGGTTCTTTATCTGGCTGAGTGAACCTGGAGCCATGCCATGGAGAAAAGACAGCTTCCAGATGGCCCAAATGCACGCCAGCGCATCTATTTAATTGGTAGACTGAGGAAGGCTGTAAAATGGGCGAATCTTTTTTCACATTTGTGTGCTATCAAAGGAGATTCCAGAACATCCTTAGAAGCTGAGGTGTGTCTACAATTGGATGATTTCTTTTACCTGCTTACACCTTTCATTTGTAATAGTTGGGATTTGGCAAATATATAGCTTACGCTTGCAGCATTTTCTCTTTTCTTTCTTGCATTGGTTCTTCCTTCCCCGGTCTCGGTTCTAATGGTGTGTGTTTGAGGTTTGGTTAAGAGATGTAATTTGGTTGCCTGAGTTTTATTCGAGTTTAGTTTAGTATTATTCCTTCATCCATCTCAGTGATCAAGTTTTATAAAAGTTTAAGATAGTGGACATATTATTATGCACATAGTGAATGGGTAAGGGAACATATTTTGATTTGTCTTCATATTTTATTTTGTTTTTTCACCTTTTTCATTTCTTTTGGTACTCTAATTTTGTTAAGGTGAATATTCCATCCATTTAACCCTTTTTGAGGCTTTAGGTTTAGGGTTTGTAACCAACAAAAATTGAATTATTTGTACAAAAAAGAAGAGGTTCAGACTTTTATCCTTTTTTATTTTAAACATTTCCTGCCTAACTGCTTTAAATTTCAATTTACTTGATTATATGTTGTGCAATGTTGTATAGGAAGTTGAAATGAGAATAGTTGTTTGTTTTACAGCTGGTACTCTTACGGATGCAAAAGCAACCTTTATGGGCTGCCTTGTGAAGGGGATAAAGTAAAAGAAAGAAGAATTTGCAAGCACTTGTCCTCTTTTGTCATACTTTTGCAAATAATGTCCAGGGAGACCCAAAAGAAAAGAGAAAGAATAAGTGGAAAACCTAGGAAAAAAAGAAAAGGACAGATGCAAATTGTGTGCCTGTAATTGGTTTCAGGGGCTATTTATAGGCTCCATCATTCCTCTAAGATTTCTTCAAGATGACAGCTATGCATTTAATCATCTTTCTGATTTTCTATGTCCCAAACTGTCTTAAAGTACCAGAGCACTTGCAGATTATTTGCTTGATTAGTTGATGAAGCATGAATCCATTATTTTCCCATTCCCATTCACTAATTATTTTTTCTTGTATTTCTACTTCTAGGCCTATGCTTCCTATATGAAAGGGAGTCTGTTGTTTGAACAAGATCAGAATTGGGACACTGCATTAATGCATTTCAAAAGTGCCAAGTTTGCACTTATCTCTATGATATATAGATGCATCATGTGTAGCTGATACTAGTATTTCTTCATGATCAGAAAATCCTGTTTAAAATGAAATCAAGCAGCTGTGGATAGGAGTGTGGGAGGCTACTGATGCTTGTTATATTGTAGAGCTGTTTATGAGGAACTTGGAAAATATGGAGATGTAGAGAATCAGGTCTTGTGTCGCGAACGTGTTGAAGAACTGGAACCAAGTATTAGATACTCTGCCTACACAAAATTGACAAGTCAATTTTGCAAACTTCCGAACTTTTACAACTTGGTGAAATGGAAGGTCCTGCACTGACCTCTTCAAGGCAAAACTAGAGGTGAATTGGTTACTTTAGATAACATGTTTTTTTTCAATTGGGATAGAACTTGACACTTTTATAAAATATTTAATTGCATTAAACCAAAACCACAAACTTCAAATTTTCTAAGGAATATTACATCTGAGTTGGCCCTTGCCTCTTGAGAAATTTTTCTATCATGGTAGAGAAGGGAAAGCAAGACTACTTGTGTGAAATTAGTTTTCTCCCAATACAGATGGAATCATATCTTTTCTTTTGACTGTAACATTTTTAAACATCTTTTCTTTTCTTTTCTTTTCTTTTTTTTCTTTTTTTCTCTTTTTGTGGCAAGATTGTGAAGTAAAGCCTGTTCCACATGCCACAGACTATGTTTGATTATGGCGATATTAACACTAAGTACCGTAGAAGACTATTAATTCAAGATGGATTATATAAAAAAAAATAAAAAACAAATAAATAAATAAATAAACTAGATTGATTACTTTTTGTTCCTTAAAAGTTCGTTAGATAACTATGCTGGGAGTGTTCTTCCCTTTTTTTGTTCTTCAACACGCTATATTGGTTTTTAGGCTGTTATGGCGGAGGCAAGATCTTAGCAGGCAGCTTCTTTGACAGAGTTCCATTGGCTTGGCCATAGATTTCCAATATCCAATGCAAAAACTCGTGTTGCCATTTTAAAAGGTTGGTTATTAGCCTTTCAATTTTAGGCACTAAAAGTTTTCTAGTCTAGATTGATACATTTCTATAGTATATTTTAAATCATTCATTTTAGGGGAGAGAGATGTACCCCTACATTTCTGAAAGTTAAAATCCAGTTCTGTAGTCATCCCATGCATTTTACTAAAGTGTTCCTTCAAGCTATTTTGTAGTCTAAAATTCCAAATACAGTCTAAATTTCTGTTATGCATTTGTGACAATTTGTACAGCTCAAGAGCTGGAGAATTATTTACATGGTCCATCTGCTGATGCACTTCCAGCTGAGATTAGCAATTTTTGACAAAATCTTTTCAGCTTATCATGAAGCAAGGAGCTGTATCTGTAGTGACTTGGTATGAAATGTTGGTCTGTGATGATTCAGTTTTTCAATCATAGGACTGGTTTCCATTTCTTTTCATTTAACACAATGATTGATCAGATTTTAGAGTTTGTTCTTTACTTTCAAGCCATGTATTATTTCATACTGATTTTCCTGATGTTGTGTACATTCTAGGCGACTGCAGGTAATGCCAAAAATGTAAAAGATGATTTGAATGGTCTTGATAAAGCTGTTAGTGCTGTATTAGGACAACGAACAATTGAACGAAACCTGTTGTTGGTTAGCATTGCAAAGAGTAAACTTATTCAGCACCATGATGACAAAAATGAGAAAGTTACCAAGCCTGAGGAACTTGTTCGCTTATATGATCTTTTACTCCAGGTGGACATTCTCTCTAGGAGCATGTGTTAACTGCCTATTATGTTTCTGGCCATAAAACATTGTTTAATTTCTGTTATTTGGCAGGACACAGCTGATCTTTCTGATTTAGTTAACTCAGGAAGTGATAGAAAACCTGAAGAGGTGACTTTTTCTGAAGAATGTGAGCTTAAAGTTCTGGCTTTCCGAGCTGAAAGGTTTGGTTCCATATGCTTTATGATGATGCTCTTGGACATTGTTGCTACTTCCCCATTTCCAATCAACTGATGCCTCATTAAACTTGAGACAAATCACTTTGTTTGGTCTTGCTCGGTGACTACAGTAAATGTTGTCTTTGCATTTCAGACTGAGGAATCTATTTTGTCAAAAATCTTGAGTCTGCATAGCTTTAAGCAGCACACATTCATTATTGACACCTTTAAGATGGACATACTCAAGATGGATTATAATTCAGTATGATATATGTTTATAACTGGTTTATGATATCACGGGCTGGCCTCTTGTGTGAATTAATATATATGCGTGAATTAATATATGTGCGTGGACTTCTTTGCAGGTGCTTCTACTTGGCAAGATCATACAGTTTAGCTGGAAAGAGAACAGAAGCATATGCCCTATATTGCCATGCACGCTCTCTCACTGAGAAAGCCCTACAGGAGCTTCAAAGTCATAGTGACAGTGATCAGGTGTCTATTTGTTTAGTGCTTTCTTCCCCAATACTTCGGCAGTGATTCTCGGTTGCATTAACTTAAGGTTGTGTGCAATTATTATTGCTGAATGCATGTGGACCACCCATTACAATTTATCTGAGTCATATAATGTGTCTGGGCGTTGAGAAGTATATTTTCTTCCTTTTAATGGACTCTGTCAATTCATCTAGTGAATAACTATTGGTAGGACACTTTTCTTTCAGATCCTTTAGTTGTGTGGAAGACTATTACTGAGAGTTAATTTTGGGTTCAGAAATATAATGATAGAATTAGCTTGTATTGATTTCTATTCCTTCCCTTGTCAGATGATGATCAAAGAGTTGAAGAGATTATACAATGAATGCAGATCTAAGATCTGCATAGAGCATGCGACTGGAATTCTAGAAGAGGGGAAAGCTCCTGAGAATCTCTCTAAGAAGATGTCCACTATATCATTAAATGGAGCTGACACGAAGGTATCAATGTGTTCCAACCTTCCTTCATTTAAGAAATTGAATCGAACTTCATTCTCACATTGGTTTCTGCCATTTGTGTTAACTTGGGTGCGCCTGAGACTCAAAAGTACAGATCTACTTTACTTTTTCTTCCAAAATAAAGAGCATGTGCATATCCTTACCCTTACAATTCAGTTTATTTTGATTCCACATCAAATGTGGAACATGGTAATGCCTCTGGATCTCCTCACGCATCCATTGGTTTGACATACTGACTTGAATTTTCAGATGGAAAAATACATTCTTGAGAAACTTGATGTCTATGAGTCTGCAGTTGGTGATTCTAACACAAAGGGTGCTGCTCCACCCATAGAAGCCTTCCCGCCACCCTTCAAATCAATACCTCTCAGTCCCATTATTATGGACCTTGCTCACGATTTTATCAGTTTCTCATCCCTAGACAACAGGATGAAGAAGGACAGGAAGGGCTTCATAAGTAGGTTTTGGCGTTGAGCTTCAATCACAATTCACAAGCATTGTTTTCAGTTAACTCGGGAGAAAATTACATTTTTATTTGGTTAAATTTTGGGCTGCTTCAAATTTTGCATCTAAATAGCTTCGAGGTCCGACTTTTGATATAAAGAGAATAATATCACCTGATTGAAATAGAGAGATCTTAAATAAAATGAAAATGTTGTCACATTGAACGAGAGATATGTGCACCACTAAAAGTGGCCTTATAATGTGCTCACTTCATACGAATGGTAAGAATTGCATGGTAATAACTAATAAGTAGGTTTCGTTTGATAGCGTGTTTTTGTATTTTAGTTTTTATATTTTTTATTATTTTAAAAATATATAAAATATATTTTCTATATTTTTAAATATTAAAAAATTAAAAAACTTA